TCTTGCCAGAGGTGCATAGATATAACAGATCAAATGTCCCTCAAAATATCTTATATAAACATTGTTGTATGTTTCTCCAATGAGAAGCAATCCATCAGCTCTGATATCATTTTCTCTAAAAACATGTTGAACAAAACAAATATTTAGACCTAGGCTTTTATAACTGTTTTCCAATAAAATGAACTAGCCATTGCTACACATTAATTTTTTCATTCAAAGAGTAAAACACTTTTTTTTTAATATTTCAAATGAAAATGTAATAAATGCTGACAACAAAATAATGAAGAAAAGTGTTCACTAGATGAATTCAGGAACCCATTAATTTGCTAATAAAAACTGCTATTTAATAAAGCCTAATCTTTAGCTTCTGTATATTTAGTAATTTCTTAAAAAAATTAAGGAAAACTTGTAAAAAAAAATCCTTAATTGTTGTACTTTACTGCATACAGTAATTGATTTTTATTACACAGCAATATTTATGGTCTCAAGTGGAATACGTATATCCAAACAAAAATTTAATGTACAACTTGCCACATTAGAATTAAAATTTCTATTCACAACGAACAAATTGGAAATAAATCTTCACACATTTTGAACTTTCCAGGACTGCTACCAACCTTCAGTACAAGAGAGGAAGAAAGCCAAGAGTCAGACCAGGCAGAGAGGTGAGGAGACAGCAATGGTCAGATTTGTTATACAGTGGTACCTCGGGATATGAACAGCTCAAAACTCGAACATTTATGTAAGTGCATTTATGTAAGTGTTTTTGTAAGTGTATTTTTTGGGGGTATAAAACGGATTAATCTGATTTACATTATTCCTTATGGGAACAAATTCATTTGGTATTGGCACTCGAACAGCCTTCTGGAATGAAAAAAATTCTTATCCTGAAGTACCACTGTATAATGTTTGAAATCAATTTTCTAAACAAGGTCAAACAAGTTCCTAAGACTATCAATTGATTTTAGAGGTTTTAAAAATGTGACTAAAACCTAAGCCATATGAACTGAATGCCCTACAGCACTTAAGATATGCATAACAGGTGACAGTAATTTATATACACTATTTATGAATAATATAGAACACCAGTCACAAATCCTAAACTAAAAATGTACTGTAATTATAATTATTTTATGTGTTAGCCTCATCACTTTCATAATCCTAAAAAAAAATTTTTTATCTTTCAACTTAATAATCAAAGCAAAGGGATCTTCAGTCAATCTCTCAAATTTAGTAAGACCAGACAAAACTATTTCTATTGCATTTACATACTTTTATGTAAATGTGTGAGCAGGGTAATAATTTGTGAAGGGATTCAGGGACACCGGTTAGCTGGACTTGAGTCCTGGAGGTGGGGAATACATGTACAGTGCCTGCACTTTCAATAGAGGTTTGGGATATTTGCTGTTCAGAGTAACATCTAAACTGTCATAGATGCACGCCTCTGCAAAGACAGTGATAGTGTGAATGATGGTGAAAGTATTTCTATTTCTTTTTGGCAGAAGGGGGGGGGGGGAGTCAACCTGCCTCAGTGGGAGACGGCTAGCACGTTAAAAAAAATAATACAGGTATAATAATTTTCATTAAGAATAATTTTAATAGCATCATATTTTTGTTTCTCAAAATTCTGAAATGAATACTAGTACATACATACTTAAAAAAATTTAAATCACAGAAAGAGCTATATATGTTGAAAATATTTTCCAGAACCATCCACAGGTAAAATACAGGAAGGATATATTTTGGTGCTACAGAATCTATCAGAATAATCACTACATTTGAACAAAATTGAGGCAAAGTTATATTTCTTACAAATATTTAGGAATTTTAATACACCTGACAACATTATCACTTTGAAGTCTACATTTTCCAGGTCTCTGTATAAGTAATAAATAAGTCTTCCATATCTATTGATCAAACATCATAACAGACGTCCTAGATGAAAACTGAAGTCGAATGAACCAAAGAAAAGTGTAGGCAAGCACTGAAAGCATGCTCCATGCTGTAGTAACATCTTCAATGATAGGTACTGCCACGTCAAACCTTCACAAACATAAAATCTCCCTTGGGCATATTGAAAATATGCAGTTCAAAAGAAGGGGTGTGTCTTTAGGCTAAAAATGAAGGTAGAACCATCTTCAGATTTATCTATTTGTCAATGTCTCTGAAACTTTTCACTCTCATCAGGACTGCAATAAAATGTATAAAAAAAGATCAAATTATTGATGGAGATTTGCACAGACTACATTAATACTTTGCATCAGAAAAAATATAAGAGACAACGGATACACTCACATGAAGGTGTTATCTTTAGCAACTCCAAGAATGAATTCAAGAGATACTGTATAGAAATTGAAGAAATGTAATGTGGCTAATGTGTTCCAAATTCATAAGCTAATGCTAAATGAAATTTTGAAATACGTATTATGATCCTAAGAAGTTGGAAGAAATGTAACAACAGACTCAAATCTGTGGCCTGGTGCTGACCAAATACACACTATCACAGGGTCAAAGATATTCAAAATTTCTAGTACAAAGCATGCCCAAATTGTTCAGTGGATAGCACGACTATGTTGGCCAAATGACACAAGATCAGTGCCACACTACTGCTTTTTTTTTTTTTTTACAATTAAGAATGACCTATAGCTGAGCATGTAGCATCACTGGTTGGTAACTAAAGGTCCCTGGCTTAGATTCCTGGGCAGAAAAAGGTATATGGACAAATCTATGTAAACCCATTGCTTCAGCTCATCTAGCAGTGAACAGGTGCTGTATGGTTGTTAATTGATTGTTGTGAATCACAGCATTGTTAAATGCTAATAAAGAAGACAATGTCATCAAGAGCCTCGATGAGAGATGCCCAGCATGCTAAAATATACATATGTAACAAAAAAAGGCACAATACCATGACTGGAACGATACACAAATAACCCGCACCTAGCTCCCTTGCAGTGCTCCCCTTTCTTTGTATTTGACTGGCTCCTCCTCCTTAATTCCCCACTACCACCACTATCACTACTACTACTACTACTACTACTACCACAACCACTACCTCTTCCTGCCTATATATAGCCGTCCTCCTCCCCTTCTGGTTAGTGTGACTTTGTAAATGGTCCAAGTCAGACCGAAACATCGTCGTAAGCTCCTCTCTTCTATGTGCGGGTTATTTATGTATACATATGTATAGTAATTAAACTCATGTAAAATTAATCCAACTATTTCTCAAACATACTTTACTGAGATCCCAAAACCAATTTGGATCCTACAGCATTATGTTTGATGTGCCCTGAATTCTAGTGTTGGTTTGAACAACAGGTTTTAGCCTCAACCATTCCATTTCTTCCAGCTTGCTATTCGTGTTTTAAAGTATCATTTTGTACCATACTGATTTATAAATCATGAAATCTTAACAACACAACTGCAAACAAACGATGGAATGAGTGGTGTTAGAACCCATGCTATGGGTTCAAACTCCATCCATGCAAGGCACAAGAGTCTCATTGCTGTGGGATCTCAGAAAATGTGAGTAACAGTTTGAAGCTTTTCATGCCCATGTGTAATTACCTATTTGTAACTAGAGGAGCAGTTACACTCATGGTTTCCTACCTTCAGTATTTAATTTCCTATATATAATTAAAAAAAACTTGAAATTTCAGCACGTCATACTTATTGCATACCTACTGTATACCATTTATATAACGATACGCTGTATTATTCTACCATCAATTCATGAAGAAAGGCTTTCTACTGCATTTGCAGTATTCTTTTGGCACTATTTTGCTTGCAACTGTGGCCTCTGTTTTCCCTGCTGACAGTAAGAAATATTCAACTATGGCTTTGTATCAGTTTATGATGACAAGAAAGAGGTTAAAGGACTACAACAAAATAGCCTACTGAGTATGTATACTTGTACTGTAAAAGTATTATTGAAAGAAGGGTAAGACAAGAATAGGATTTAGTGAACAATAACTAGATAAGGGTAATGAACCTTTTGCCATATTTATGGGTTAAGAAAAAAAGAATATAAAAGGGTGGCTACAGAAGCAGTGTGGCAGATATTGCAAATGTATGGAACAGATGAGTTACTAAAAGTAATAAAGAGTTTTATACAGTGAGGCCCAGGTTAAGGTTTGTAGGAGAGAGAAGGACTACTTTCCAGTGAAAGTAGGACTTAGACAGGGATGCATGATGTCACCATGGATGTGTAATATATTTATAGATGGGCTGTAAAAGTGATTGCTAGGGTGTCAGAAAGTGGCATGGGTTTCAAAGATGGTGGAACAGTTACAAAGTGTAAATTATCACAGTTGGTCTTTACTGATGACACATTTATTTTAGGAGACTATGAAGGTAAGTTGCAAAGGTTGGTGTATTAATTTGAAAAGGTATGTAAAAGAAAGAAATTAAAACTGAACACAGACAAGAGTAAGGTGATGAGGAAAACAAAAAAGTCAATGAAATGGAAAACCGAATATCAGACTGGAAAGAGGGAGCATGGAGGAAGCTGATGTATCTGGATATTTGGAAGTTGACGTGTTGACAGACGGGTCTTCAAAAAATGAGGTGAACCACAGAACACATGAGAGAAAAAAAAAAGTTGGTGGTATGTTGAGGCATCTTTGGAAAGAAAGAGGTTTATCAATAGATTGAAAAAAAAAAAAAAAAAAAAAAAAAAAAAAAAATACAGAAATGTCAACACTTCTGAATGGATGTGAGGCATGATCTTTGAATGTTGCAGGAGGAGGCTAGAGACAGTAGAAGTGTCATGTTTGTGTAGTAGTATAAATATTATACTGTACCTGCTTATAAAGTGGATTCTCACAAAACAAATCATGTTTTCTTATAACCATTTGCTGTATAAATTGTGATACTGTATATAACAAGAAGAATCAGCCATAAAATAAGAAAATAAAAATTTAGACAAAAAATAAGAAAATAAAAATTAACCAAGAAATATAAAATCATATATAGAGTACAGCAGCGAAGATACGAACACTCACCAGAGATAACTGACACAGCTGCATATGATGGCTTGGAGGGGAATTTGTAGTTTGGGTGTTAGTTGGATGGAGTGAGGGAAGCAGGGCTGCCTTCCCTTTCTTCTGACTGACTAGTTTTCAGAGAAATATTCTTGCTGCAGGTCAAGTTGATTGAAGTGGGTCTTACTTCAGCTAAAGGAGGACGCTTCCCTGAGATTATCAGTCTTGTAGAGGGATGTAAAAATTTTTGCTTTTCTAAAGAAGGCTGTTCGGCTCGCCTTTGCTTTTCTCTGTACAGCTCCCTGTAGCAGGCAATTGCATTGTCCATCTTCGACCTAACTTTTATGCTGCATTCTAGATTTGGATCATTTTCTGTATAGATTGCCAGAGCTGCTTCTATTAGATTGAAAGACTTTGACAACTGCTTCAGGGTTAATTGAGGGGTGGGATCGGTATCAGCCTTCTCTTCCTCATCCTCTCCCGATGTAGCTTGCTTTAGTTCAAGCTTCACCAATTCATCATCATCATCAGAAAGGTTTTCTCCATCTGAATCTGATAACTCCACCACATCAGTCTCATCGAAATCTTCAAAGCCAACATCTCTGGCAAAGTTCACAATATTCTGGAGAATGCCTTGAGCTGTCTCTTTGAAACCATGGATACAATCAGGCCAGAGAATTTTCCACACACTGTTCATTGTTTCTGATGTGATTTCATTCCAAGAATCACAGATGTTTCCAATAGCATTCATGATGCCAAAACTTTCCCAAAATTCCTTTATTGCTGGCTTATTCCCACCCTCCGTCTCTCTGATTAGTTGGGCAAAGGTTCTTCTTAAATAATAAGTCTCAAGTGTGGCTATAACACCTTCATCCATTTGCTGTATCATTGCCATTATATTCATGGGAAGAAATTCAACTCTAACATGTTCAGAAAGGTTATTTAAATTAAATGAATGACATGAGGCATTATCTATGAGGAGGAGTACCTTGTGAGCAATGTTGTTAGTGGTGCAGTATTTTTCAACAGCTGGGCAAAAATAGTGTAAAAACCAATCTTGAAATATATTTATAGTTACCAAAGCTTTCTTGTTGGAGCACCAAATTAAAGGGAGTTTGGGTTTCCCATAGGCCTTTAAAGCCCTTGGCATTTCAGTATGGTACACTATCAAAGGCTTAAGCTTAAAATCTCCTGCTACATTTCCACCCACAAGTAGAGTAAGATGGTCCTTGGAAACCTTAAGACCTGAAGAAGTCTTCTCTTCAGCAGATATGAAGTTTCTTGCTGGCATCCACTTCCAGTACAACTCAGTTTCATCTACAGTAAACACTTGCTGCGGTGTGTAGCCATCTTCTTCGATTATTTCCTGCAACATACCTTGATAAGTTGCAGCTGCACCAGCACTCTTAGCCTCACCAGTAATTTTAATGTTATGCAAGCAGTTATGCCTCTAAATCTTGAAAACCACAACTGACTAGTAATAAAAGTCTCCACTGCTTTACCTTTAAATCCTTAAATAAACTCTTGTCCTTCTCCTCTATCAGCAACATGCTTACAGTAACGTTGATTTGGTTTTGGTTCTCAATCCAAACACTTTAAAGGTTCTCCATGGTCTCCATTAAACTACTTTGTGTGCAAGATAATCTAGAAGCTCTGAGAGGCATCAATGCTTGTACAATGCCTTTATTTTTGTATCTAGAGATGGATAATATACATTGTAGAAGTAACTATGCCCAGAGCTTAAGCGATGATACCTTCTCACCAGAATGAAACTGCCAAAATATCTCCAATTTTGTATCCAAGTAACTGACCATTTTTCTTTGTAACTTTTGAACCATTACATTCTGTATTGCCCATTAGCATTAAGAAACCCTTTCTGGATGGGATACAACATAAACTAATGTTATATTTGTATAAAATTGAGCAATGATGCTCCTGCAGCTTCTCACATTGTCAACAATCTGTGTGAAAACACACTAGATGTGGTACGTGTCTAGTCAGTGAGTAGAAACAAGGTCTAATCTCAACCCAACAAGCTCAATTTCATTAATACTCCTCCAAAACCAAATCACACAATTATTAATATAAAAGTGTTCCCTAACTGTTCATGCTTGGTGCACAAAATATTTGTGAAAACAATTTGTTGGCAAATTCTTGCATAATACAGGCCTTGTGTTTCACCTATAAATAAAAGATAACATTTTCTTACTTTTGCCAGTGGAAGGAAGGCGGGGTAGGGGTCGGCCTAGGAAAGGTTGGAGGGAGGGGGTAAAGGAGGTTTTGTGTGCGAGGGGCTTGGACTTCCAGTAGGCATGCGTGAGCGTGTTTGATAGGAGTGAATGGAGACAAATGGTTTTTAATACTTGATGTGCTGTTGGAGTGTGAGCAAAGTAACATTTATGAAGGGGTTCAGGGAAACCGGCAGGCCGGACTTGAGTCCTGGAGATGGGAAGTACAGTGCCTGCACTCTGAAGGAGGGGTGTTAATGTTGCAGTTTAAACTGTAGTGTAAAGCACCCTTCTGGCAAGACAGTGATGGAGTGAATGATGGTGAAAGTTTTTCTTTTTCGGGCCACCCTGCCTTGGTGGGAATCGGCCAGTGTGATAATAATAAAAACAAAAATAGCCTGAACTTGTGTATGGTTGCTGCACTTGCATAGGTCAACACGGTGATCCTCTTTCTGTGGAGTCTTTCGGTCTATCCCAAGTTTTTCATGGCAAGAAAGTTTAAATATTTCAAGTCTATATATAGTCTACTTGGAGGGCATTCCAGAGGTCAATGCCCCCACAGCCATTCCAGAATAATCTTGCCTCACAGGCATTTTATACAGTATTAATTATTAGCATAACTTATGGTCACTGGCCAAATTAACAAACTAATGCAAATAATTAATTGCAGTAACCTTGTCTGTAGAAGCCCTTTCTCCACGTGGCTTAATGTGCATATACATACCATGTTATTTATTGAATCCCTCCAGCTATTCAAGGATATAATCAGTATTTACTTTTATATTCACCTGTTTATAAAATTACTTTATGCTTTCTTTCATTATTTTCCCAGCAAGGGAAGCATTTTTAATTTATAACAAGAGAAACCATTGATATAGCATATCATCAAACCTTTGGCTAGTAGGCACCTGCAATGTGCAACAGTTTTTTTTATGGCTTTCAGACAATCACTGTCTGTATAAAACTTGAACATTCTATTCTAGTTATAGATTAAATCTTGTAGAGCACAATTGTTTTTGAAATAGTGTTCTTGGCCACAGTCATCTTAACATGCACTTCTTTTTCCAACTGTATAAATCTGCTTTCTAGTGAAAGTAAACTTATAAAATTGGAGCACGGAGGAGGCCAGAAACAGTGGGGATGTTGTGACTGAGGGCAATATAGTGTGTCAACATTATGTAGAGAATTTGTAGTTTGGAGGTTTGGAGATACAGGGATACTAAAAGCATTATCCAGAGGGCTGAGAAAGGGTTACTGAGGCGGTTTGGACATTTATAGAAGATGAAGCAAAATACGATGACTTGGAGGGTTTATAAATCTGACGTGGAAGGATGTGGGGGGTAGGGTTCATCCTAGGAAAGGCTGACAGGAGGGGGTAAAGGAGGTTGTGTATGCATGGGGCTTGGACATTCAACAGGTGTGTGTGAGTAAGAAGAGGCAAGTGCTTTTTATGATTCAGCATGCTGCTGGAGTTCGAGCAAAGTAACATTTATGAAGGATTCAGGGAAACCAGTTAGCCAGACTTCAGTCCTGGAGATGGGAAGAACAGTGCCTGCACTCTGAAGGAGGGATGAGGATATTTCAATTTGAAGGGGCATTTGAACTGTGATATCAGCACCCTTCTGGTGAGACAACAATTGAATGAGTGACAGTGAAAGTGTTTTCTTTTGATTTGGGTCACCCTACTTCAGTGGGAGTGAAAATGAGAAAGGGAGGTAGTCCAGTTGCTGCCCATTCCCACACATCACTCCATTCCTCTCACACCACAAACTTGACCACAGCGATGTAGTCTGTCTACCTGGAGGGTATTCCGGGGATCAACACCCCCACGGCCCGGTCCATGAGCATGTGTAAATAGTACTGTTGTTAAACACATTGTGTAAAAGGGTGAGGGTGAATAGGAGTGAGAAAGAGGGAGAGTCTAGCTGCTGCCTGCCGTTACATATCTCTTTTGTTCTACAGTAGTCCTCCCCCATATCTGCAGGGGATATGTTCTAAGACCAACCATGAATATCTGAAACCGCAGATAGTAGCAAACCCTTTACATGAGTCATTTTCGTTTACATACATACCTACAATAAAGTTTAATTGATAAATTACACACAATAAATGGAGAATCAGCACTTTTTCTCTGATGGGAAGCACTTCATGGCTTCTCTTAGGCTTTGAAGAACTGCCACATCACTACTTTTGTGCTTTGTGGCCATTATTAAGAAAAATTAAGGGTTATTTTCGAGCCACAGAAAATCATGGATAACTGAAACTGTGGAAACCGAATCTGCTGATATAGGGGGTTCTACTGTATATATGTACTATATTGTAGTTCTGTTTTGTTTTAAATGTACACATTAATTAAACAATGTTAAATATTTCGTAAGAGAAAAATGAAGAGCAGTGTATGTAAAATATTGATTAAATATTTTAGTAAAAAACTGGGTGAAATTAGACACGGAGTACTATGGTTCGGGAATACATCTCTGATTATAACATGGGTTTCTATGAGAAAACATGTTCTGGGTTCCAAACCTGTACTGAATACACAGTATAAGATCACCAGACAAAGTTTATTCTGGCAAGGTGCATTAAGCCACAAGACATCCAAGGACAGGAACACTCCAAGGAGAGGGTTACTGTGCTCATGTGTGCAAAGTCAGCAATCATACACAAGTGCATGCTGCTTGTTATTGGCAAAAATAAACACCTATAAGCCATCAAGGATATTAAAATGTTGCCTGTTATTTTCAAGGAAAACTACAAAGCCTGGATTACACAATAAATTATCAATATTTTTTTTCAAACATACTGGTTGTATACCACCAAGGAAGGTTACTCGAAAAAGAAGAAAAACCCTATAAAGCTTTTCTTCTATTTACATTTAGTAATTTATACATGAGAAGGGCGTTACTAGTCCCTTGCTCAAATCATCAATAAATGTTTTTATAAATTAATGTTTTTATAAACATTTTGTTCAAAGTGGCCAGCACTGTGATTACAAAACCAGATATCTCAATATTTCAAGATTATGCTATTTCTTTAAAATCTACTCACCTATTTGAGGAGAGGAACAATTGGTTTCACAAACTTGGAATATTTTTACCACATTTACCTTATACAACTTCAAGTCCTGTAGTAGTGTGAAATGCAAATACAACAACCAAGTAAAGGGTAACGTTCTGGAGATTAATGAAATTTATGAGAAAGTTTTCTAAAATAGGTTGCCATAAATAAAAAAAACTTGATTAAATTACAAAATTGCAAAATGAAATAAGTACTATGACCCTGATCAACACATGGCATAAAATATGGCCTGCTAACAAGGGCCGAAGTGATGACGCAAGCATAGATTTCAAAGGGATTAGTATAAATTTTGAGAACTTAATGCAAAATGACAAAAACTATGCAATGAGATCCCTAACATTTGTGAGGACATTCAGGATTGGCAAGACTGTGATAAAGACCTTCCTGCTTGTGAAACAATTACTGATGCCACTGATATCAAAATCAATGATTATGTCACAAATGAAAATGCTACTCTGAGAAATGTGACAAGACATACAAGTGTCAAGAACGTAAGTGCTCAAAGTAAAGTGCAGGTGTAACATTTAACAGAGACAAGATACAAGTGTTGAATATAAAGCTCACAGCATAGTACAGGTGTAACACTGAAGAAAACAATGAGAGACAAGTGCTGAGGATGTACGTGCTCAAAGTAGAGCCCAGGTGTAATATAAAAAAAAAATAGAGACAATTTTGAAGAAATTAAAATTATGTTACAGAAATCATAAGTAACAACTGAACTTAATCATTAACCCTTTAAGGGTCTGTCCCGTAGTTCTACGGTTTTGAAGCCTGGGTCCAAGTCGTAGTTCTACGCCATGAGCTCGGCTCACAGATAAGCTGTGAGCAGTAAATTTGGGCCTAGATATGAGAGACTGGATTAATGGGGTAAGTGTGCACCATATAAAACAAATCCTACAGCATGCCATGCATAATGAGAAAAAAAAACTGCAACTGTGTTTTTGGATTAAAACAGTGACTTTGCGGTGTATTTTCATATAACTTTTACAGTTGTATTCCTGGTTTCTTGGTCTCATTTGATAGAATGGAAGATATGTTACAGAAATAGAGATGATTCTGA